AAAGTGCCCTGCTCTACAGTGCATTTTAAATAAACCGTTACTTGTAATGATTGGCAGGGCTAATGTACTGGAAAACAGGTATACATTCTAAGGTGTGTGATTGTAAATATATACACGTATTCTCAATGTCTATTGAAGATGGAAATGTTAAACGCTAGTAGATAGAACAGCCACGCACTGAGACAGTGCCATTTAATTCACAAACACGAACTCTTTATTTTCATTTAATATAACCATTCATTCCAAATTTCAAAATGTTACCCAATTTGATCCATTTCACTGCATCAGATAAAAGCTGAATTTAACAATCTCAAGTAACCATGGAAATGCTGTCATCCACAATATGAAATAATCATGATGTAATTAACCTTTCGTGGGATGTGAACCAAACCAATTTGAAGAATGTATGGAGAACTTCATCATGAATGGCCGACAGAGAGATCACTTATGTACAGGTGACAAAACTCATCTACCCACATTACCACTTATCCATCATTTTATGGTTTATCAGCAGCCACCAAATGGACCATAAGATTTCTTGATCATTCTTTCTGAGCTTGAGTACCCTTTCAAGACAGACTCATAAATTTTCATTAGGTTAAAGGGTCTCTTCAGAAAATCTAACATGATAGAACTGGGTTTGGATGACAGTGACAGTAATTCTCAAATTGATGACTACCAATTATGAAGCAGCTAATGGGAATTTTATAGGAGAGGCTTGTTTAATTGTCTTATAGTATGTGTTGGTTGGGGTTTTCTTTTCTCTTAAATCCTTGTGATATCCAAGACAGTCACAGCGGAAATTGAACAACACTACTTTCTTCTCCTGAGTTTTTTTTGTGTGCAATAATTAAGCACTCTAGCAGAACTCATATAGCTCTATGTCAATTTTCAAGATATTAAAAATATCTGTGATTTGGAAGGTTTATAGACAAAATTTCTTGTATTATTTTCAGTAGTCAAACTCTTTATTGAACAGCAAAATGTATTTATATTTTGCAAACACAAACAGAGGTTACATGAATAGAAATACATTGTAGGTCAAAAAGCCACTGAGGTCGTGTACAGCCAAATCCACTGATCACGGGTCTTGAATTCAGATTGCATCATGGGTAATACATAAGATCATTAAAGTGGTGTACTGCCAAACCTACCAATTACAGGTCTTGAATTAAGATTGCATCATGGGTAATATATAAAATCATTAAAGTGGTGTACTGCCAAACCTACCAATTACAGGTCTTGAATTCAGATTGCATCATGGGTAATATATGAGGTCATTTTGATTGTGTACAGTCAAACCTACCCATTACAGGTCTTGAATTAAGATTGCATTGTGGGTAATACATGAGGTCATTTTGATTGTGTACAGCCAAAGGTACCAATTACAGGCCTTGGAGTCAGATTGCATTGTGGGTAATATATGAGGTCATCAAATTACAGACTGTTATTTTTTGCTATTTTGAATGCAGCACAGTGGGAGTGGTACACTATATAAATGGCTTCATTAGAGAACGGTAAATTTCTCTTCAACTAATTTAAGGTACAAATTTAACTCAAAATTTCTATTTCCTACATGGAAAAGCGGTAATTTGCCTTATTTCAATGGCTCTTTTTATTACCAGTGGGTAGACATATCCAGCTACCTTGCAGCATGTTTGTGCTATTTTTCAGTAACCTCATACACAATTAGTAGATATAAATGACAATCTTTCCTCAATATCATCTTCCAAAAACCTACTTCAAGTAGCACAACTCCCTGTAGAGTTCCTATACATTTCAAAAAAATCATGCGAGTTGATATCAACCCAATGATATGCAAATTAGACACATCACTTGTAAATTTATGGACTCATAATCTGTTTATTTATTTAGCCTAAACTTGTTAGGTTTATTCTAGCACTCATTCATCCATTGATCTGTTTAGTGGATGACTGTAAAACACACTTGAACTTGAAACCCAGATACCCAATGTACAGCCAACTGTAAGACCAAGTATGGTGAGTCTGTGATGGTTAATTATGCAGTCACAACATGAACACATTTTATGTGTTGGTATGTTCAAATGATTTGGACCATGTTCTACTATGTTCTGGCCATACTGTAACATATTTGTTTTAATATGCCTTATGTTCTAATACACTGTGACTATGATGTAACATATTGGCACTATATTGTAATGAATTAACTAATGTTCTAATGTGTTCACTGTGTGTAACATAAATATGTTTAATGTTCTAATGAAACACTATATGTAACATTATAAATCAAACCACATGAACAAGACATTTGACAAGCACCAGACTAGTCAGGAAATTCGTTCACAATTATTAGTATATTGACAAAACCTTTATGCTGGAAAACACACTGACTCTCATAATGAATTGAGTTGAAATGATGAGAAATGACAACATCAAGGCGAGGTCTGAATCACAGAACAGACACACAACTGCAAAGCTAATTTAGAAATGCCGCCATACATTCCAAGAATTAATGAGGCGAGACAATAAGATGCAGATTTACATGACAGACTTTAATAATCCCAAAGTATTATGGCCACGGAAGATGTCCCTGGCGCCAAGATTGCTACTCACGCCAATTTAGAAGGATGACTAAAATTGAGTTCCTTCAGAAAAAACAGATGTTGCAATAATGTATTAGGTTTCAACCCAGCTTGCAGATATTTTCTATGCATGAAATGAACATTGTGTATGAGTACATAGATGTTTTGCAATTCAGCACACTTAGATAATACCAGTGACATATCCAGCATTCCGCGATCATGACTGTTATGTTTTGATTGAAAGAACAGTATGTGCTTAAAGTGTTAACGCAAGCACGCTTTGACTGTTATTTTTATGAAAGAGTTTGACTTGTTTAATTTGAAACAAACAAAACATATGCTCCTGGATACACAGTGTTACTGATCTTTATGTCCTTGCCAAAGGAACATTCATTATTGATTTTAAACTTTGAATCAGCGAGTATAGCAACTCACCATCAAATTTCAGTCTGTAACTAGAAGGTATTTCAGAGCAGTGCAATTATTACCAACAAGATTGAATTCAACCAACCAGCTGTCGTTACTGTCAATCAGTACTTAGAAGTTGGATTCATTGCATGAATTAGCACAGTCAAATTGTGCAGTTATTAGCATCGCAATTAATTAATTAAAGAATAATTATCTAATTAATAACTGGCTACTATGAATTGTAGGCATATAAACCCATTGTTACTGTATTAGACCACTCTATTTTTAAAATTCCAACTAGATAATAACATTATCGATTTATCATACACTGTATCCCAGTTCATCAACACTGTTATTATTTAGTGTAATTTTCAAATAGTGAAACTCGCCAAAAAGGTCTTGTCACGTCAATTTTGATTCAAATATTACACAGATCAGGAAAATTCAATATGCCATGCTGGAAATAGTATAGTATATTCTCATACAGTACACATGAGACTAGATATCCAAACCAACGCAAAGGTCAACAAAGTAAAAATATGACCAGTTGATCACGTTCTAAGGTAAACTCATTTATACACTAATTCAGTAAGTTAGCGTCACCTTGGTAGATCTCATTTATTGTGTTCCCATAGAAATCATTCTGAGATTGAGGATCAAATTAAGCCACTTTTGGGAATATTCTATAATTATTCCCACTCAATCTGAAGTGATGACACACATCAACACCATAGAATCATACATACACATCATCACCATGGAGACAGTTGTAATTACAAATAGAGGAAGCGAGAAGAACAGGTTGTGGATTATAAAAAATATCACGAAACAGAATTTTCTTCAATCTTGAACAAGCAATCAGAAACAGATTGGATGGAGCCAAGAAAAGGAAATTAAACATACAGTGAACTGGTTTCATCCATTTTACCGGAAATTGTAGAAAACGCGACCAGAAAATATACCGGTACAACATATAGAATAGAGTAGCTCAACAACCAGTTACATTCTGAGTTATGTGGGACATGTGATATGGGCAATATAAATATTTAAAATCAGTTTTAAAATATCAAGTACTTGAATCTCATAGTAAGTTTGACTGAATTGAATTTTTAGATGGATAACTGAACAAGCAGCCTGTCGGCTGAGATAGCTCCGCTGTTAGCAATGCACATGGCAATTAAAGAACAGAAGATATCATTAGAAAATGAACAAATCTGAGAGAGGTCCACATGTAGTACCTATATGTATAATATATCAAAGTAATTGGACTTGCGGTTTTCAACAAGAAGTCGAAAATATCACTTTTACTAAAAATTACAAAAATATTCATCAAAATTAGAGAATTAAAGATATCATCATGAAATGAACAAATCTGAGAGAGGTTCACATGTAGTACCTATATATGTAATATCGAAGCAATTGGACTTGAGGTTTTTAACAAGAAGTTGAAAATATCACTTTTTACCAAAAATGACAAAAATATTCACCAAAATTAGAAAATTGAAGATATCATTATGAAATGAACAAATCTGAGAGAGGTCTACCCAAGGTACATATACACCAAGTATCAAAGCATTCAGGCTTGTAGTTTTCAAGAAGAAGTCGAAAAAGTAAAACATTGACACGGACGACGACGGACAATCACTCATATGATGAGCTCCGCTCGACAGAGGAGCTAAAAAACTTGACAATGACATACAAACGAGAAGTAATTATCTGAAAATAATTGGTACATTGCGTTATCAACAGTTGATCTGACCACTGTTCATTGTATCTATATAGATATCCCTAGGGAGGCCATTGGGGGGAAAAGTTCGATATAAATACCCAGTGATAATCAGAGTCAGTTTTACATTTTGAATTTACAATTCTTCAAGTTTGGAAATATTATGCGATTTATTCTAACTGCAACCAGCAATAATTGAGCTCCCTTAACTTGATCAAATATCACATAAGACTCCATAGCATACATACAATGCCCCCCAGCATAGTGACTATAATTTCAATGAGACCTTCTAGGTTGCCATACCTTCAATAACGTATACTAAGGATCCTACATCTCCTTCTTTAATTATACAGCTTTCTTTGGTGTGCTCTACAGGGTACATGCAGTCCACTATTTCTTGTATCTGTGATCGCTCTAGATTCTTCATGAAGTCATTGTCTTCGATAGCTGTTTTGATACATGCTTGTGCGCTGCAAATTGGAAAACGAGAGATAAGGTTAGCGATGTCAGGTCTGATCGAGTTTAATCAGAGTTTGCTGTGATCCATTAGGGATTAATGCAGAAAAGCCTGAACAAAGATTAGGTGTGCAATTCACTGGAAAAGGGTAAGTGTTTATTTGGACAAGTGACAACATCAAGAAAATACATGAATGATTACTTTAACCAGAATATCCTGGATTTGTCATTATTTAATAACTATTTCAGAGGTGATTAAATTGTTAGAAGAAATATTGCAATTATATTCAATATTTCAACTTCATTGATGTCTACAACCAAAGAAGAAATGTAATATTTTCTTTACGATGTCAATAAAGTACTATTCCATTCTATATAAACACTATAAAATGGAAATCACTATAATCTGAAAACATTTATAAACATAAAACCACTGTAAACTGAACACTTTTGTAAACATAAAACCACTGTAAACTGAACACTTTTGTAAACACAAAACCACTGTAAACTGAACACTTTTGTAAACATAAAACCACTGTAAACTGAACACTTTTGTAAACATAAAACCACTGTAAACTGAACACTTTTGTAAACATAAAACCACTGTAAACTGAACACTTTTGTAAACATAAAACCACTGTAAACTGAACACTTTTGGAAACATAAAACCACTGTAAACTGAACACTTTTGAAAACATAAAACCACTGTTAACTGAACACTTTTGGAAACATAAAACCACTGTTAACTGAAGACATTTGGAAACATAAAACCACTGTTAACTGAAGAC